TAGGATATCTTTAAGGACAAGGAGACCACGCACTATTTGTAAAGCACAACAAAGGTTGTGATTGTACTTATTGTTTAGTTGATGATATTGTGATCACAAGAAATGATGATAAGATAGTGGATCAGCTAAAAAAGGCATTGCTGTAGAATTTCAAGTCAAAGACCTCGGCCAAATGAGGTATTTCCTAGGCATGGAAGTGGCAAGAACCAAGAAAGGGATTAATGTATCCCATGGAAGTCTACACTTGACCTCCTCCATGAGACAGGAGTGCTTAGATTAAAACCTAGTGAAACACCAATGGAAGCTACATGCAACTTGGAGGTGAAACCGAACGGTACTCTAATTGACTCAGAAAGGTACAAAAGATTGGTGGGAAAGCTAACCTACTTGACTCACACACGTCCTAACATAAGCTACATAGTCGGAGTGGTGAGCCAATTCATGCACCAACCCCAAGAAGAGCACATGGAAGCTGCCCTTAGAATCCTAAGTTATCTAAAACTTAATCCTGGAAAAGGAATCTTCTTTGAGAAGAATAGAAGAAGAAACATAGAAATATACACAGATTCAAACCATGAGAGAGCTGTGGAGCACAGAAGGTCCACTACAAAATACTTTAAATTTTATGGAGGAACTTGGTAACATGGAGGAGCAAGAAGTAGTCTGTAGTATCTAGAAGTAGCACTGAATCGGAATTAAGAGCCATTGCCCTAGGAGTATGTGAAGGAATCTGGATCACAAGGCTCCTTAAGGAACTCAGAATACCCTATGAAGGACCTCTTTATCTTTGGTGTGACAACAAAGCAAGTATTGAAATGACTAGGAACCTTGTCTACCCTGATAGAACAAAGCATGTGGAAATAGACGGAAACTTTATCAAAGAGAAAGTGAAAGCTAGCATCATAAATCTATCCTGCATAAAGTCTTCCAACCAAATTGCAGACATAATGACTAAACCACTAGCAAGGGTACAATTTGAAGGGTTTCAAAGCAAGCTAGGAATGCTAGATATCTATTCTCCAACTTAAGGAGGAGTGTCAGAATTGAATCCCTAGTACTAGTCGTTAGAATCATATCCCTTAAATCTGTAAATTTCCTTTTCTAAATCACATAGAATCACGGTCCCTCATCATGGGGATTCCCTGTCATTAGCTCTATTCAATGTAATCAGATTTCCAAATTTGTTGTGAGGAAATCTGATCCTATTTATGTACCAGTTCTGCTGTGGAATAATACAGAAAAATAATTTGAATCATTATCTCTGATACATGGTGATCCGTGTGTTGCAATAGAATTCAGGTTTTTTTTTTTGGTGATTAAAAGGGGAAAAAGAAACCTTTAAAAAAGAATAAAAATCAGTTTTTTACTTTTTAGCTTGTCTTGGATTTTGTGGGGGAAATTGGCATCACCAAATGCTCTTTTACTCCTTCCCTTTTCATTTGCATTGATTACCTCAAATCCCGGTCCCTAATGGTATTTGTCTTGTAACACATTTCAACCAAAAACTGTGATTGGATCTCTTCAGTGTGCATTGGGATATTCTTGATTAAATCTTCGCTAATCTTCATCTTCTATTGCCTTCTATGAGTCATCAGTAAATCTTGAAGATCTAAGATTGAGTATTGATTTCTAATATGTGCCATTGCGTGTCTTGTCTTATCATCAGTAAAATGATAAAAGGCAGGTAGCTCGAATTTAGTAGAGAAGATAGATCATCAGAAATTATTGAAATAAGGAAGAAATTTTGAAGCCTTACAGTTTCTACAAGCTTTGAAACTGCCGAAATTTTACTCTTATGTAACATCACCTGTTGGCTGAAAATGGGAAGAAATGACCTTGAAAAGTTTGAAGCAACCAATAGATTGTTCAGAAAGAGCACAAGGAGAGAATCTTCACAAGTGAGTGCAAATTTTGAAATCTGTTTTTCATGAATATGTGCTCTGCAGCTTTTCTAAACCATTAGATGCTTGAAAGTTTCAGATTTTAAAGAAAGGAAATGAACATCCTGCATGGTTACCTGATGGCTGGAACGTGGGTTTCAAAACCCGAAAAAGTGGTGTGCACAAGGGAGCTATATATAAGGTATTGGATAATTTTATGAAGTTATGATTTGCATATCAGATAGTGTTGCTGTTAATCCCTGGCCATTCTAGTTATTCCATTTTCTTCATTCTTTCTATCATGTCTTACTTTGGAAATCATATGCTATTCTTTAAAGACCTCCAGCTAACTGCTCAGTGCTTATATCATGCATGGCAGAAGCATTGCATGATCACCCAGACATATGCATAAAGAAGCGATGGATCCTTACTTAATTTCTGATTTAGCATATGATACAACTGCAACCTTTTTTCTCCCTTTATGTCGCTGACTCATGATCTGTTCTTGTCCTAAATTGGTTAGGGCTGGGTTTTTGAATACATCATTTGAGACCATAATCTAATAATATACTATGTTTATTTTCATATTAAAGGCTTCTCTTTTTAATTGATGTGCTTAAGTATTTCCTCACTTTTCCGTGGTAGTATCATATTTTCTCTTGCCCAGTTGCTAGTCTACTAAGAGTCTGACATAGTAATTACACAACACATTTCTAATCTCTGTTTAGAACTTTTTGACTTCTCACTGCTACTTATTTGTTGTAAGTTGATATTGCTCACATGTTGGTGATGTTTTATTAAGTATTTTTCCCCGTTAACCATGCATCTCATAACATACTCTGTTCTTATTGCAGTGCTTCAGTGATCCATTGAACAGATTCAAATTCTACTCCAAACCTGAGGTATTACGGTATCTTGAAACTATAGATGGCAGCAACTGCACTTTCAAGAAGGGATGCCCTGCTAAGCAATCTACAAGCAATGTTTGTACCCACATCTCCAACTTCTGTGACTTAGCATTTTGATTTTAGTATGAAATTACAGCCTTACACTTCCTTCTTGTCGTCCATCACAGAACTGTGCAATATGTATCCTTGATAGTTATGTAATTTTGCACAACCTTGGAAGTCTAATCACGTTGTTTTTAAGTAATATCAAAGAGTTTTCTGTACTTTGGTTATGTCTCTTTTTCTTGTGGTTGAAAAATGGATTGTGCATGCATAGTCCTAGCTAGTCCTTGTGCAGGGGGTAGAGTGTGTGTGTGTGTGTGTGTTGAGGTGGGTGGGTGGATGTGGACATACTTGGTTTTTGTATTTGTCCATTATCTGGTTATTTTATCATATCAAATTCAAACATATGAAGTTTGGAACTTCCTTAAAAAAGTCTCCCTTCTCTTGTCAACTTTATCATGCTTCCTTGCAGAATACCTCTTACTATCCATTTTTATTGGTATGACTTGTCTGTCTAAATTCAAGAGATTTATATGACACTGCTTGCTTGAGCAATAATCCAATGAATATAACTTCTTCATACAGATAATTGCATCAAGAATGACTTTAGAATTCTTGTCTTGCTTTTGTTAATATAGGAGTCATCTGCCCCCAAAAGACAGAAAGTGAAGCATTCTGCAATCAAACAGCAGCTTTCTGCCGGTGAGAAGTCAGAAGTCACTTTTTTTTCAAAGCTAATTGACTAACTGTGCCACATGTTAATCCTAACTCAGAGTGATGAAAAATATGCCATGTGCATCTAAAACCCATTCCTTTCTATTTCATGCATGCTGCTGCAGGCAAAGAAGTTTCTGACGGTGTCTTAGAATTGTCAGGTGCTTGCAGCTCAAAAGAAGGGCAAAATATGAAGGTGTCTGCCGAATTTATGGTTTCTCCTGTTTTAACTTCTGACTCTGTGGGCAAGATGCATTTGCCCAAGGAGTCAGCTGAAAACAATTCTGAAATTAAACAATCTAATCCAGGTAGCATGGTACTGCCAAAGTTTCCACCTTAAAATCAGTAGAAAAGACATTCTGTACTGAAACTGGAAATTACTTGATTCCTGCAGCTAATGATGTGCATGAGAAGAATTATTTTATGAGTGGAGTGGAGAAGACTGATGAAGGGAACCCTTTTCACACAAGCATATCCAAAAACAAGAAAGAGTTGAATGTGCCCCAACAAAATTTGAGACAACTCACTGGCAAAGCTGACCAGTTAACCAGCACAGTGACCCACGAACCGGCTCGTCGAGTTTCAAGGAGAAACTTTAGGAAAAGTGTGACCCCTATAGGCGTTGACTTGAAAAACAAATCATCTCAGAAGCAAAAACCATGTGAAGAGTTACTGAACAAAAACAGCAATCCTGATGTTGAACTAGCTTACAGAGATCAACCATACCAGCTAGTAACAGAAAAAATAGATGACAAAGAGGTAGAACTTGAATGTTCTGAGTTTCAGGATTCCAGTGCACAAAGTCTCAAGGTTGAAATGAAGAACATCACATGTGAATTACCTGCTAGGGATGTTTCTCATAGGGATCAAAGATTGGCTTCTGATGCTAATGTCATGAAAGAAGACACATTGCCTGTCGATCAGATTGGAAAAAGTGATACCTCTGAAATTCATGTTAACTTGAACAAATATAGTGATAGGAAAGATCATTGCAATCCATGTCGGCGGGCTTCAAAGCGACTTGCTGGATTAGAACCAGAGGTGACGACCAACTCGATAGTCTGCAAAAGAGCTCCTGAATATAAGAGTAGAAGGCCTAAAGGTAGAATCAATGCAGCTTTGCGGCAAACTGAGGGCGGGTTGACTGTTGATCGTGCAGATAATGCTTCTACCTATATAAATATGCCATTAAATAGGGAGACATCAAATAAAAACTTAAAATCTCCTGAAATTCTACCCATTACTCATGAGCAACCAGAAAAGCATGGAAATGAAGAAATAGATTATGAGAAATCAGAACCTCAGCAGTCCATTGCTTCCCAATACTCTCGGTCTGACCCATGCTTGGAATTTGCAATGAAGACTCTTACTGGCGAGTTACCCGTTGAGAATTCGATTGGTGATGGACCTAATCTGGCTACTGATGCCATGTTGTTTGACGGTGCTAAAGAAAGCAGCAGTGAGAGAAATGTGCAGGTGAATTCAAAGAAATTGAAGAGCAAGGAAAAGCTTAAATTGCCTCGTCGGTTGTCAAGGAGACTTGCTGGCCATAAGCCTGAGGTAATGCCTGCTTTAAGAGCTGTAGAATATGCTACTAGGAAGTCATGCCAAGATAAATCAACTGCAACTGTGTTTTTGAAAAATGGAGTTTCTCAGCTAGTTGGTGCTGGCAAAGAAATAGAGCTTACTCTTGATGCATCTAACAATTTGTTAAAATCAAATGTGCTTGGTGAATCATTGAACAAGAGTGAAACGTCATATGAAGTCCAAAATTTTCCAGAGTATCAGCAGCAGAAGCTTGAAACTGACAGCTTGGAAACAAGAACACTTAAAGAAACATCGGACAGGAGTGAGGAGCTATATGAAACCCAAACGGTTGATGAATTGAATGAGAGTGTGAAATTATTTGAAACCCTAAATATTCCCACGGAGCAACAGCAAGAGCTTGAAACTGTGATGAGTTCAGAAGCACAGCTTTGCTTAGCAGATGGGGAAGAAACTGAGCGTACACTTCGTGCAAGTGCCAGTTCAAAAACAGAAGTGCTTAAAGACACATCAAACAGGAGTGTGAAGTCATATGAATCTCAAACTATTGAAGAATTGTTATGTGAAGACCAAACTGTTGCCAATGAGCAACAGCAGAAGCTTGGTGGTTCGATGTCAGAGCCACAAACGTGCTTAGCCTATGAGCAGTTTTGGTCAGATCCTTGCCTAGAATTCGCAATCAAGACCCTAACAGGTACATTACCAGTGGATGATGCTGCCAACGTTTTGCCAGTTATGACTACTGATAACAATGACCAAACAGACAAGGAATTGCTTGACGGCGTGGTAAAGAGTCCCAGAGAAGGAAGTCATGATAACTTGAACCAATCTGAAAATGATAAACTCACGATGCCTAAACAAACTCAATTGAGGACCGGCTCCACATTTTGCCAAAATAGGGTGTCTTGTGGTGATGAAGCTGATTTAACTAGGAATTTGAACGAAGGAGAGCCCCTTTGTATGGAAGACGTGAATACAACAAAACTTCTGCATCAAAGAATTACTGGAAGCACAGTTATCCATGAAGAGCTACCGAAGAAAATCCCTCAAGTTCTTGATGTTGAAGCTGTTCCATCTGAGCAACCACAACTTGAAACTGAAATCATGAGCCATGAGAAGCCTGAGGCTCAGTTTCGTTATCCATTTATGGATTCTTGGTCAGACCCAAGTCTGGAATTTGCATTCAAGACTCTAACAGGTGCCATAACAATAGAGGAAGATTTACCAACTCAAGGATGCTTGGAGGAAACTGCCATATGGAGTGGCCAGAGGGACAGTTACTCATCGTTGCCAGATTTTGGACCTACCAGCTTTTCTCAAAGTGATATATCATCCTACTGCAATATGGAGGAGAGGTCCATTGCAGAGCAGCAGCCACAAACTAGCCTTGGCGCAGAGGTTGATCCTCAGAAATACCATTCTCATTGCAATAGGAAAATTTCAAGGTAACTTCCTCCCAAAAAAAAAGGAAAAAAAAAAAAGAACCAAGAAAGAAAGGAAGTTTGTGTAGCCCCTGAATAACTAAGATTCATTGTTGGCCATCTATGAATTGTCATTGCTCATCTTGATGTAGTTCTTGTAACATAGTAGGGACTTTTATTTCCTGAACAGGTATGTTTCAACTAGATATTCTATTTTGTATGTCTTGAAGCTCCATATATTAAGTATATCCACACAAAAAAAATGTTTTATGTATTAAACAAAGCAGGGACGCATGATAGTGCAACAGCTGTTCGATCTGTAGTTAGTTTCTTTTTGGCCTAGAACCTAACTGATTTGAATTACGTTTCAGTCTATGTTGAAATTTGAAATTATAAACCGATTGGATGGTAAACTGATTCAGCCACCTATTTCGTATTTGCGCACCGAAGGCACAAAATAAAATAAAATAAAGGTTTTTTGGTCAAAAAGTCAAATAAAGGTTAAAGTATAAATTTGTTCTTTTTAGTTTATATCAAGTTTTATCTTAGTCCTTTAATTTTATAAATTGTGCTTTTAGTGTTTCAATCTTAATATCATTAACTTTTACTAATGACAAATACTAACTCAGCAATTCAATGCCAATAAAACATGTTTAAATTTTAATTATTTAATATAATGATTTTTATATTTTAAAATTAAAGACCAAAAAAGTCTTCTCTGCAACAACGGCGACCCCTCCACATTCTCTAATTGCCCCTCTTGCCATTTCTCGCTACTGGATGTCCTCCGTAAGCTCTTCTTTTCAGCCTTAATCCAACACTTCATCAGCTTCTTATTTTTCCTCCTCCTCCTTAACGGCGGCGGAATGTCTTCCTGAGCCTAGAACGGAGTTGAATAATCATAAAATAACGTTTGTTTTATAGCCCCTTGAGTTCTATATCTCTCTTTGGAGGCCAATCGTGTTGCAGTAACCATCATTTCTTTTTATACCTCAAGCGATAACAAAGTCCAATGCCATAATATAAATCCTAATGACATACTAATTGCAGATAAAAATATGCTTGTATCTACTACAGCCCATAAATTACCAAAAAGATCAGTTATCTTTAGAACATAATTGAAAACAGCTTCCACAACCCTTGGACGATTCTTGATTGAGATTAGTAGGGCCTCTTCCAATCTTTATGACAGCCAACTCGGACGTTGCTGATTAAGGGCTGTGTATGATATATCAAAATGAAGGCTGGAGGGGAGGAAACGCCATTGTGATCTGTCACAGAGGAAAAGACCCTTTTTTGTTTTTATTTTAATTTTAAAATATAAAAATCATTATATTAAGTAATTAAAATTTCAGCCTGATTTATCAGCATTTAATTGTAGAGTAAGCATCTTAACGGTGTTAAAATCAAAAGACTAAAAATAAACTTTATAAACTTAAAGGACTAAAATAAAATTTAATATAAACTTAAAGGACCAAATCTATACTTTAGCATAAAATAAAAACTACCTTTGATCTTAAAGAATCCTTTTTAATGCATGTGTTGAGAAGGTTTTCAACCAATAGTAGTCATAATTAAGAATAGTACTTAATAGAAATTAACTCATTTATTATAAATAAACTAATTAGACTAATTTTTTTTAATGTATTCAGATTAGTTAAGTATTCTTTTTATTAAGGAGCGTATCCTATTACTTAAGTGGCTGAATGAAGTTTGGTCGTTCAAGTTGCGGGTAGTCCCAACACTTGAGTTTTTCTGCAGGTTTACAGATAAAAGCTGTTTGATAAGATGAATCATGATGCTTTTGTGCTACGTAGATCTTGTAAGCATGGTATTATAAAAGGTAGCCATTATTATTAATGATCAGAGAACGAAAGTTGTAGGCAGCTAAAGACAAAAATCCAACCAAACGAAGGAGGAACAATAAACACGGACGTAATTTGCAATCTTGGAAACAAAGCATGTAGCTCCTTAAGCGACTAATGGATTTAGGATCTCCAAACGCGCCACCCCTGTATTTAAAAGTCTCTGCTAGATTGCTGCCATCCGCCTAAGTTTTCCTCTTCCACATATTCACTGCTGCGCGCCTGAGATTAAAAACAAAGGGGAAGAGAGAGAGACAGAGAGAAACCAGTGTTACCAACGGAAGAGTTTTTCGACTTTAGTTTTAAATGCAATGAGAAGGGCAGAAAATTGTTGCCGATAATTACCATGATTTTGTTGGGGGAAAATGTGGAGCAAATGGAAGCTAAAGGAAAGAGAATTACCTCAGGGGTAAAAGTGAGGCCGAGTTTAATCTCCCCGTGATACTCCTCATCCTTGACAACGTTGTACGCCGTAGGTGGGATGCTTCCTTCAGTGAACAAAGCATCTAGCGGGATGCTGGAAAGAATCATCAATTTGACTACTTTAGGAATTACAATGATTCGTTCCCAAAAAAGGAATTCATCACATCCCCCTGGTAAATTATACATATACTTTTCAACCCCTTGTGATTGTCATCGTCCGGCACCTAGCGTCATGACATTTATTACCTTTTGCCCCCACCTTCACAGTTGTCTCTACACCACAAGTGAGCTCCGCACAAAATTATGATACCATCAACCAATATTATCCAAATACTCCTTTTGTACTATCCGCCGTTTGATTGCAACATTCCGTTATAATAATAATAGCAATTATATATTAATGTCTTGATTTATAACTAATTAAGACTCGTTTGTCCGTAATTAAAAACTGTTTGGATTAGTTTTACTTAGAAGTGATTTTATAATATAAAAAGAAAATATGCAAAAAAAAAAAAACTGTATCGTAAAAGCACTTTTTTAAAGTGTTTTTTGAGATTTGCCAAACTCCTCTTTAAAATACCAATACAAAGTATATTTATGCTCCACTTTATTATCTATTGATTTTTATTCGTCACCAAAAATTAATTATCTTTTTTTAGGATAACCACGGCTTCCTACTTTCCTGTTCACTTTTTCACGGAGATTCATCAGACTCTCTTTTATCTTGTACATCTTCTTTTAAAAAAATCCTGATTTATTTGGACATTTTTTGACGAGGGGAAATAATTCAACCCAAGCACCACCTCACCCCCATCAACAGATGTCAAATAGCTGGAATGCATCTCTCGCAGAGTTTCATAAAGGTCAAGACTCGAGAGAACTGCGATAGTGGGATGAAATGCTCAACGATTCTACAGGTCAGTGAACCCTAAACGACGCCATGACTTGATGTTAACCAGAAGAACAAGATCAAAAGCTAAAAATTAAAAAAAAAAAATGCAAAACTCACGTTGCTTCTCCTACGAAATCATCATCCGTGCCAGCATCACTGTCCAATATCTTCAATACGAGTTCCGAAACGTCACCGGTCAAGTTGAAAACGAAAGTTTCATTCCACTCCGGATCAGATCCTTTACCTGCTTTCACAATTTAATCACCACTGTAAAATGCGTGCTAACATGTTCTGTTTTGACTAATTCAACAGAAACAGAGACCTTTGATACAGTTTGGAAATGAGCATGTTGGCGATCATTTCACTAGCAAACCATATGTTTTCGATCATGCTAGACGTTTCTATTAGGATCTGAGGCCGACCAGTTATAACACTGACGGCGGTCCACTGAGTCATTGAATTCAAATAAGATGCCGTACCTGATGCTACGCTGCTTTTCTGCTCCTGAGTGCGACAGGTGAGGATCACATAGGGATCCATGTTGTCTGTTCAAAAGCATGTGAAGATATTGAGATGAAATTTAGGAAACAAAAAGGAAAGGATGCGGAAGAAGGATGGACGGATGGAGAGAAACTCACTGAGAAAATCGGTATTCTCAAGACTCTTGGCACTAACCAGAAGGACTTCAAGGGTTCCGTGAGGCATCTTATTCGATGATGATTGGATCGCAAAGAGAATGAATCGAAAAGTAGAGAATCCGAGAGGAATGAATCGCAGAGATCTATTTCGCCTGCCCAAAACCGTTCCCTTAAAAAGAAACGCCAACTATAGTTGCCAATTATTATTATTTAATACCGAAATCGCATGACGATCCGGGCGGTCTTATACAGTCAAGTCATCGTTAAAAAGAATCAGGACCTGATTAAGGAACCGCGTGGCGTCTTTTACAATCCACTCTGTCATATGATTGAGCCTTGTGGGCCGTATTTGGGCTTTAATTCAATCACCTTTTTGGGCAGTTCATCTTCAGGCAAAAATTCTGTTTTTGCTGTAACCAAAAAAATAATCTGTTTTTGCTATCTGTTCTGTATTTTTTTCCCAAAAAGAGTTTTCCCTATCAATCGTTCGTATTCATCTCCAAAAATCCAAGTAATAATAAAGGTATTGAGAATTCCTTGAGTGCAAACACAAAACGCCGGAAATCTCTCGGTTTTAGAGTTCTTCTATACTCGTTTTGGACACGAATCTTGGATCATACAACCTATTTCCTCTCTCGTTTACGTCCACATATCTATTTAGATGAACTTAAGACTACTAATAAAGATTTTCTCAACGGACGACAAAAGATTAGTCATGATTATTAACGCACTATCTTCGTTAAGTGGCCTTCACATCATGATTAGTGAATACAATTATGCTGTTAAGAAAGCTGACCCACCCAAAAAAGAGAAACAATAAACAATTGTCTCCATTTTCAAGTTAAAAACACGTCATCAGAGGTTGACGTTGGACTGGGCTGATTAGCAATTCTCACTTATTTTCTCAAGGTAATATTGTTCAATACATTATAACTAGCTGACTCCTGCATATGCAACAACGATCAACTGGAAATTTAGATAAAAATTTGCTCAAAATTGAATCATTAAAAAATAATTGATTCAGACTTATGATGTTATATCTTTGAAGGGGATAACGGATAAGAAGACAAAAAGAATATGACAATTATATAGGTTGAGAATTTATTATTATAATTATAATAAAGACAATTACACACGTCTCGTTACGAAGTCCTTTATTTCAAGTTATTGGAGAACAAGAAAACTAGGTAGCACTGATTGATTCAAGGGCAAAAAACAACACTGTAGTTGGTTCCTCCTGGGCAAGTGAAAGTGCTGGTAGCATCATCCTTAGGATAGCTATAAGCATCAGGGCACCTATCCTTAAAGAATTTAGAGTAATCAGTGGGTCCACAGCTTCCAGAGTTGCAACAGTATTGATCTGTCTTGAACACAGTGCAGGGATTGTTACAACCGCCTTGAGTTTTCAACTGGCTAGGGCACTGTCCGATGATGTCGGCAGTACATCGGATGGCACGATTGCACCCATTAGATGTCGGGCTGAAGTCCATGGGAACATTGAAACCGTCAACCAATGAGATATCATAGAAGTCCAAATTATTGTATTGGTTAAGGGCAAATTCTGCAAGTGTGTCCGGCGGCGAGCCGTAGGCTTTGCATTCGAGCAAACCTCCACAATCACCAGTTTCACAGTGTCCACGACCCGACCCATCAAAGTTGCAGTTAGTTCGGGCCCATATGCGAGCCCCGGTGGTGCCGGCAGCCACGTCAAAGCTCCATGTCTGGCCGGTGTTCAGCTGTCTGCCACCACCAGGCACGGCTGCCGCCCACACGGTGTAGGGGCATTTGTTGGTGACATCAAACCTGGCGGCGTGGGTGAAAGAGAAGGCAAGAGCTAGAAGGAAGGAGAAGACAGGAAAGGATTTGATGAACGCCATTTTTTGTGAAGAGAAAGGATAACAACGACGGTGTTTATATAACGCAAAGCAAGAAGTGCTGTGTTTGAAAATCTGGACGATGATGTCAGGAATAGACGGAATAGAGGACAAGTTAATTGCCTTTGAAAATTCAAATGATATAAAGATATTGCCAGTCCAATTTGGATATCGACTCTAAAACTTGCATTTAATGTAAACAAGCAAGGCCAGTTTTTTGTTGAGATTTCCTCGTTTTTCTAGATAAATATCACATAGATAGCTAGTTTGAAAAAATGGATCAGATTGTATTTAATTAGATGTGCAGCTCCACGTGGATTGGGGCGTGATTGGAGGCAGCATGTTAAGGTTGAGTTTTCTTTTCTCATTTAGTTGAACCTCGGTTGCAAGGAATCCATATGTTTGAAAAATAATTGGTTCCAAGGGGGAGCAAGAAATCTGTCTTTGAAATTGGGAGACAAGAGTTTGGGGACGTATCGATCATAGACTCGAAAGTTACATGAAAAAGATTCAAAGCAAAACACAATAAGAAACACGCAGTGGGAGCTTTTGCATCACAGTGAGGAATAAATACGTGAAGTTTCTTAAAAGATTACAAGAAAAGGCACAATATCCATAGGAACCTGTTTGAATGCTGATTTTCATGCACGTCCTCTAGATGTTACAAATTTTAAATTTCTCTCTAGGTTTTTTTTTTTGGCCCCCTTTTTGGGTGGGGTGTGAGGGAGAAAAACCGAGGGACGAAAGCTAAAGGAAAGCACCTAGTTTTGGATTGAGACCGAATCATCATCAGAACATACAGGAAGTTTGATGGGATCAAGATATAGTAATATGGGAGGAAATATGATGTAATACTGTGATGGGAAAGGAGTTAGTGCTCATTGCTCAATAGTCAATAGACGGAAGTTACATCTTGTTAGGTTTATTTGACTCCAAGCATACGATGATCTTGTGGTTAATTAATTATCGTCTTTTGACCAAAACAAAAAATCTCATCTAGAAATAAAAGCTTCTTCTGTTTTGTCAACACCTCCTCAATTAGAAATACGGGATGCCGTGTAAACCAGAAATTAGAAAAGTCTCTTTTTTCAATGGAATATATTTATTTATTTATATGAGTTAGGTTCAACTGGGGAAAAGTTGCATTCGCGCGAGCTAATACATTATATTCCTCATTTTCTGCCATTTCTGATTTCTCCTTACTTTTCCTTCTATTTCTTGTTTTCATCTGTTTTTCTTCTTTTCTTGCTTCCCCAGACCTGGCTTGTACTACTCCCTCCGTTTCTTATTATAAGAGACATTGATGCTTATGGCATGTTTCTATATATAAGAGACACTTAAAGTTATCTCTACTTTTTGTGTTGATTTCCTATTTTACCTATATTTATTGTCTCAACTTACACTCTCTCTCCCTCCCACTTCTCTTTCTTTTAATAATTTAATTGTTCTCTCTCATGCTCTCTCTCCTTATTAATGAGGACAGTTTTGGAAAAAAATTATACTTTTACACATTGATTGTTCTTAACTAATTTAATTATTTTTTTGATCAACGAAATCGGTATTCGTCTCTTATAATAAGGAACGGAGGGAGTAGTAATTGCAATCAGAATTTGCAAGAAATTGTGACAAGGTATTTTTCAATGTTTTTCGTCTTAAAAATTGAAACGTCAATTATAAATTACTGTACGAAATGTCATCAGTTTAGGAAGACAAATGTCAAATTATCGATAAACTCTCAAATAATTGTACAAGTTGATTTTTAATATCCTATCTTATAGGGAAGAATGAACTGTCAATTGCAAATATTCAGGACTTGTAAATAATTGTCTGTGCAGGTTCTCCCTCCAATGTTTTACGAATCACCCCTCATCTTTTTTGCCCGACAATTAAGTTACTCTTCATCAATTATGCTATGAATTTGGGAAGAGAAAGAGAAGTATCAAATTCTGGGACTCGTTTAATTTTGAATATTTCATCTCAAAATTTGGAAAGCCGGTTTGACAAGACAAGTAATAAATCGATTGATTGTGACTAGAGGTTGAGGTTGTTTAAGAAAATTTCTGTTTAAATTCTAGCCACCGCTTAAGGACACTTGGCTCTTTCTTCTCATCTTTTAATTTTGACAGTCCTTCAATGACATTAATTTGCACTTCTGACCCTTACTCCCGTAAAAAATAAAAAAGAAACAAAACCGATACCAATGAAGTAGGAGTTTTTTCCCCTCTAAGCACATTTATTCTCTTATGGGATACAATACTGCTTAAAATATTATCCGATATTAAATAGTTGGAAATTCAAACCTTAGCTTATTATGTTGTGATAAATTAATCATTTTTACTAGACTCAATTCATTAGATAGCAAAGTAGGGTTTTTCCTCCTTAGGAAAGGGAGTAAGGCCGGGTTCTGTAAAGGCCCATGAAAGAATGGCAATTGGACTTATAAATCCAATAAATAAAGAGGGATATTGAAAAAATTTACGTAAGAAATTATGAATTTCAAGAGGACTCGATGCTTTGTAACTGAATATCTAATACCAAACAGGAAAAAACAAAAAAGTTAGATATCTGATCCAACTGAATGCAATTAAGCACAAGAATATGGTGCAGTGGGTTGAAGATTGTGATGCTAGCTAGAAAACGAGAAACGCGCAAACACAGAACAAGGAAACGACCACCATGGCTTTGTTTGGTACACAGCAATGAATTTTGACGGATTGGGATTACTGGGATTCAAACTAACGAATCATATTACTAAATCAAAGTAAACATCTTAAAAGGAACTAAACATGGAAACCTCAGTAATAGTCGGAGACTATCACTCCATGCCTTTTGCCATATCCCAATTTAGAATCCTCAATCTGTTCCTTCGTCTTCTTCAACTCCTCTTCATATATATATAACATAAATATATTCTCACTCTTCCTCTCCTTCCCCATTACTGTTTCTGTGTTTTCCGTCATGGCTTCGCCGCCGAAAACGATACTCGTCACCGGAGGGGCCGGCTTCATCGGTTCTCACACCGTTGTTCAGCTTCTCAAAGGTGGCTTTAACGTTACCATCATCGATAACCTTGACAATTCCGTCATGGAAGCCGTCCACCGGGTTCGGGGTTTGGTCGGTCCCGACTCTTCTAAGAACCTCGACTTCGTTCAAGTATGATTTCAGACCAATAACATTAAAATCTTCAATCCTTTCTCCCCAGTCATAAGCCTGCATTACCGTCCGGTTTGATCTTATTTGTTGACCTGATTTCAGGGTGATCTCAGGAATATAGGTGACTTGGAGAAACTGTTTTCCAAAACCAAGTACGTGTGGATTACTTGTTTTATATACTATTCAGTTACTTGAGCATTTATAACCATGCATGTCATTTTTTTTATGTCGAAAGAAACACAGATTTTACAGAGAGAATAGTTGATTTTCCGTGATTTTGTAACTGGGGATCATGATGAAACAGATTTGATGCGGTGATCCACTTTGCGGGTCTAAAAGCTGTTGGAGAAAGTGTTCAAAATCCCCTTCGGTATTTTGAATATAACTTAATCGGCACCATCAATCTCTATCAAACTATGAAAAAGTACAACTGTAAGAAGGTTAGTTAGAAAAAAGATTACATTTTTTTGTATGTCTTGGTGTGCTTCTATAAAGTGACCTCCACGCAGGCAAAAGAGGCATCACTCGTGTGCATGTGCTGCAATAAAACAGGGACGACGTTAACTTGTGTCCCCTGCTTCTGCGAATATTGTATGAATTTATTACATCCTTATAACTTAAGGATATTAAATTAAATATGCGATCATTTTGGATTATGTTTCTTCCATAAAGTAATCGCCACGCAGGCAAAAGGGTCCCATTCTTTTTTTTTGCCCAAACAAAAGGCGTCTCATTCGCTCCCCAAGTCTTGTAATAAAGCAGGGACGTTAACTCGTCTCCCCTGTTTCTGTGAATAACATTGTGAAATCTTACATCCTTAGAGCTTTAGGGTATAAGCTTTTCTTTCCTTCTTCGTTGCATACGTAATGTGTTTTCATGGTTGAATCAGATGGTATTCTCATCATCTGCAACAGTCTATGGTGAAGCTAAAAAGATACCTTGTGATGAGAATTCCGAGTTAATGGCCATGAGTCCTTATGGAAGGACCAAGGTAAGCATGACTTTGATCTGTCAATAATTTGATAGATAATATAGAGATTTTATAAACTGATTTTGAATATAGAAGTACTCTGTGTTTGCTGTTCGAAACAGCTGATACTGGAAGACATAGCTCGAGACCTCCAAAAGGCAGAGCCAGATTGGGGGATCATCTTACTGAGATACTTCAATCCAGTAGGAGCCCATGAGAGTGGCAAAATTGGTGAAGATCCCAGAGGAATTCCAATAACCTCATGCCTTTCATACAACAAGTCGCTGTTGGAAGGTTGCCTGAGCTCAACGTATTCGGTCTAGATTATCCCACGAAGGACGGCACTGCGGTTCGTAAAACCTTCTTCTATAGTAATATTCCATGCACTAAACGAATCAATCATCAAACCTTTCTGATCCTATCTAAAAAGTGGATCTTTTCTTTCATTTTGGTTTTGAAATTAGGTACGGGACTATATCCATGTAATGGACTTGGCAGATGGTCACATCGCCGCCCTGCGCAAGCTCTTCAACACAGAGAGCATAGGTGATTCGATGTTATTGTTTCTTGTATATATGGAAATGGCATTCATTATCTTTGTGCGATAGTTGAAAGTACTGTGACAAACTTGGTGGTAGGTTGTACGGCTTACAATCTAGGAACTGGTCGTGGTACGTCCGTGCTTGAAATGGTTGCAGCATTCGAGAAAGCTTCCGGAAAGGTAACTATATATAATATATGAATCTTCCTTTGTGCATGCAAGTGACGATGAAATATGAAGCTTTGGTCGATCGGGTTGTTATTTAATGTTCAGAAAATTCCCCTGAAAAAGTGTCCGAGGAGACCTGGGGATGCTGTTGCTGTGTATGCATCTACAGAGAAAGCTGAGAAAGGGCTAGGGTGGAAGTAAGAACTTTATCTAACATTTTGCCAAAAAAAGAAAAATATGACTGTTCATTATGGTTGTTGTTTGATGAAACATATGATTTTGTGCAGGGCAAAATATGGTGTGGAGGAAATGTGCAGGGACCAATGGTGTTGGGCAAGCAACAACCCGTGGGGGTACAGGGGGAAGCCATAGAGTTCTGTGTATGAATAATTAATTAATTGGGAGATACAAGCTTGCTATGTTACTGCACATTTTTTAATTTTTATGTTCATGTTTGTGTTTCGGAGAAATTGCGGTAGGTTTGGTTGGCATGTCTGGATTATTGACCAGTGATTCCAATTTCACGGTCCCAATTAGTTTGTAATGGTTAGAACAATGAAGAAATTAGTTAAGTAGCAATTAATGGAATTTCTTTGATTTAGCACTGTGATTTGTTAGATTGAATCACAATCCCAATCATTCAACATTTATTGTCAGTGTACCAAACATAGCAATGGCTATATATTCATATTTACAGCACATATTTGTTATCATTAATCATTTTAATTAATTTTTTTAATCTTTTTAAATTAGTCATCAAACTCTTTATAGCAAAGGTCAAAGGTAGTATGTAGCCTCCAGTTTTTTTTATAAGAGCATGAAGTTTAAATTGTCTCAGTCCTTTTTATAAGAACCTAACTGGGGTTGCCTAAACATTTAAAGTATTTTTACTATTTTTGTTCTTAATTAATTTTATATATTGTATTAATTAAAAGATTGGCAATTTTGCATAGCACATTCTCTTTCATATTTTTTTTTCATTACTAATCTATTTCTTTCTTTATAAATAAGGTTATACTTAAAAAAAGGTTTATTTTTTATATATTTATTATTTTTAACTAATTTTAATTGTCTTTTTAAGCTGCGTAATTCAGTTATAAGGTTTTTATTAAAAAGATCAGAGCGAGTTCGTAATTATACATTTGATACGGTGCTTGACCCATTTAATGGATAGTTTATATTTAAATTTTCCATTTTTTTTATATTTTTTAAGTTAACGTTTTAATTTTAACCAATCGACAATTAGAAAATTATTTCCATTTTATGTACTATGCACGTTAAAATATAAATAATTAAAACAAATGGCGTGGATTTGATGCACGGGCGGCTCCGCTAATCGGCGTAGGAATGAGATTGACTTTAACTAGAACAGTCCAACCCTTCATGCGCCTTCCCATACGCATCGTGATTAAACAATGTATTGGGTCAGAAAAGATGGGCCGTTGATGTCTGCCCAATGTTTTCAATAATCATTTAAAAAATATGTATTGATTTTAATAAAATAATGTCTATATTTAATGATCTACAATAATTTGAATATAATTACCGCCAATTAAAAAAAATCGGTTTCTAACCAAAAAAATCATACTATAATCTTAAAAATTGTTAGCAAAAAGAATATTTTCAAAAAATTAATTTATAAGTCTTTATAGTTTCACATGAGTTTTAATTAAATTTGTGTAACTTTTTTATCAATCATTTGAAATTATAAGTGAGAATTTCAACAAAAAAACTTTTAAATTTAAAAATATTAAACCAATCTTATTTACTACACTTTAATAATAATTAACAATATTTAAAAAGTAAACAATAATACATATTTATAATCCTGATTTAAAATTTTGAAATTTTAGAGATATTGTTTTTGGGATTTTTACAAACTATAAAAACATGTTTAAAAATTAGGTAAGATTATAAAGACTTAATAAAGAATGTAAAGATTTAATTAAGAATTAAATACTGAATAAAAAAGAAAAAAATAGAGTAACCTAATTTTTTTTTTGAGCTGAAAATACAGTAACCTAATTAAGTTAGGTAAAACTATGGAAAGTTATAGATTAATTTTCTCAATTATTTTATAACCTAGCTTAATAATTAATCTTAGAACAGTCGAGTTTTCTCTTATCCGATTGCATCTAAGTCGCTAAATAATTAATCTTACTGTAAAAAGAAGTTCCGTGACGCATGGAGGGGTCCGGCGTGACCAGCCTGCTGGTGCTGGACCAATTCGACCCGTGAAAGAGAAAAAGGGCATATGATTAATTCCGCACCATACAGCCAACAGTAAGCGGAAGAAAGAGAAAGAAGGTTCTGGAAAAAAAGATGAGCTAAGCTTGGTGGAGAGGTCCAAAACCAAAAAGGCTTCTTGATCCGGGATTCGATTCCCCGACCCGACTCAGATTCCTTAACTCGCTTCTCGCTCCTCGTGTCCCCTTTCTAGCGCCTTCTTATCCCTTCGCTTTCTCTCTATCCATCATATGTGGGACCCACTGTTATTATTGTGATTTCCAAATTCCTCCCCGCTCTTTCCTTCTCGAACCCACGATCTCTCTTTCCTCCTCTCTCCCCCCACCTCTCCCTCCTCCTCGAACTCATCCTCTATTATTTACTCTCGCCTCCGAAACTTCTAGAAGCAACAAAAAAACCTACCACCACCTCCCTCCCTCCGCTCTCTTGCCGCAACCGCTGCTTCCGGTCGTTTCTGGTTCAACTGCTTAAGACTGCGTTTCTTCTTTCCTCGTCGGTGGGTGACGAGTTTTCAGAGCCTTAACTCACCTATCTCTGTCAAGGTACCACATATCGTCACACTAGTATTCGTGTTCGATTATGCTTGTCTGTATTTCTATTCATTTATTTTAATATTAATGTCAGAATAGTGCAGCTGATTATAAGGAACATGGATTAGGCTTATTGAGGATAGTTTGACTTCCTTGTATATTGCAATACTGATTTTCATAAAACGTTTGTCTATGTTGTGGATATCATCTGTAATCCCCTTCTCACGCATTTATTTGTCTCCGAAACAAACAGTTGGAGGATAGTTATGAAGGTACGAGAAGCCTGAGCTTCAGATCTGAAGTCGAGCTCATGGCGCCATTGCCGGTGGAGCAGACCGGTGAATCAGCACTGACTGACTCACAGAGATCTATGCCGACGCCGTTTCTAACGAAGACCTACCAACTTGTGGATGACCCCTCTGTGGATGACCTGATTTCCTGGAATGAAGATGGAACCAGTTTCATAGTTTGGCGACCCGCTGAATTCGCTCGAGATTTACTTCCAAAGTATTTCAAACACAATAACTTCTCCAGTTTCGTCCGTCAACTAAATACCTATGTAAGCTTAACTTTCAGTACTGTTTTATTTCTTCTTTTGCTAATACAAATATACGATTTTCCCATTATTTTCTCGCCTGCCTAACGGATTGTTGTTCACTCGCCTGTGATTTGGCAGGGATTTCGGAAGGTTGTTCCCGATCGTTGGGAATTCGCTAATGACTGTTTCCGGCGAGGCGAGAGAAGCCTGCTTCGAGACATTCAACGGCGGAAAATATCGGCGTGTACGTCTGCCGTAGCTGCGGCCAGTACAGTGACGGTGGCTGCAGCACCTTCCGCCGTCGTAGGGGTGTCTCCGACCAACTCCGGTGACGAGCAGGTAATCTCTTCGAACACATCTCCGATTGCCGCACATAATACAGTGCAGCTCACCACAAGTTGCACCACTGCACCCGAGCTCTTAGAAGAGAATAAAAAGCTTAGGAAAGAGAACATGCAATTGAGTAATGAATTGAGTCAATTGAAGGGGCTCTGTAATAACATACTGACATTGATGACGAATTATGCTTCAAGCCAATTAGAGTCCAGTAGTGCCGCTGAAGGAAAACCATTGGAGCTTTTACCCGCGACGCAGCTTTCGGCTGAGGAAGCCATCGTAGGAGGCGGCGCTTCGCAGGAGACGAAAGTTACCGAAGCGGAGGTGCCCAAATTGTTTGGGGTTTCAATTGGGGCAAAACGACATCGGAGTTCAGAGGGCGAGGAGGCAGAAAAGGAAGAACAAAATCAAACACAGTTGTCCCAAGAACCCGACGGTGGCTCCGATGTAAAAACAGAGCCGCTAGATGGTAGTAACTCCGATGATCAGGAGACGCCCTGGTTGGAGCTTGGGAAACAATAGCCAATAAGTTGTTAATTCGTTTGATGGCTCTGCGTCTCGGGCTGCCATGTTCGGATGCTGTCACGTGCGAAAGGCTGGGACGCACGTGATTTGAAGCCCCATCTTCTTCCCAAATGTTGCAGCACAGTTAAGACTAGAAATAGTCATCGAAGCGGGAAGGATAAGCACTAAGAAAGCGATGCTTCATTTTGGGTGCGGAAAGTGAAAAGTTACGAAGGGAAAAGGAATGTCATTTTGATGGTGAAAAAATGATTAGCAAATGACAGTGGAAAAATGACGAATCACGATGAGACGTGGACGGAGCAACGTGATGTGATTATTCAAACCGGATGCGATTTCGATTGGATTTAAGTGTATTTCACGCTTCCATTATTTAGATTTTGCACCTTCTTCGTTCCTTCCTTCGGTTGCGATGCTATGATTTTCTGACATCATATCAGCCTAGCATGTGTATACTCGCATAAATTTCTACTAATATTTGCAAACTTTGCAACTAATTATTGAAAATGTAAGGCCTATTATAACCCGCTCTTCATAATAATTGATTTTCTGAAATTTTTTTAATTGATGATAACGGTTTTCTTTCATTAGCTTCTCATTCTTAATAAATTAAGTGTTTCAAGTGATAGGGATGATTTGTCGCATCTTTAACCTATTTTTAAGTGATTAAGGTTTAATATGAGGTACAAAATGGGAATATAAGAATTACGGTAATGAGTTCCCTCTTTCCTGGCTCCTGGCATGACGGTGTGAGTTTAAAAAGTGTGTGAGTGAGCGGGGGAAAGGGAAGCGGGAAAAGAGGCCTGGATGTGGGAGGTTCCAGTCTGGATAAGTTATGTGTTGTGCATCATAATAATTTTATCTCATAAAACATAAATGTAATTATTATATGTTCGTAATAAAAAGCACATAATTTGGGCTGTTATGGAGTTGCAGATGCAGGGCACCATATAAAAACGCAGGAGGCGTTGATGATTATGGGCTGGAATCGAAGTTCAAAGCATGCCAAAATTGGCTGTCACAGTTTGACTGCGGTCCGCCTATGATGTCCGTCTGTCAAAACTACAAAAGTAAATATTTGGGAGAATTACATTCAAGTCCCACATAAGAGAAATAATCACTACAAAGTCTCAAGTAACAACCTGAGCAGCCTGAAATAACAAGTCTTACAGTGAGAATGACAACCTCTGGGATTTGTTTTTTAATTACTTGAGACCTCACTGTAATTCTCTCTAAATATTTCATCGTCCCGTCCGACGTTGTATAATCAAAGCTCCCTTCTAGATGGAACATACTAGAAAGTTAATGACTTGTAGTTGTACCACACAAAGCACAAACAGTTAATTATATTGTTCATCCCTTATAAATGTAGTTTATTTATATATATATATATATACACACACATATATCCAGCATTTATAGATAATACTGTATGAGTAATTGAGTATATTATTGGATATTGATTCTTGTCCACCCTTGTCCCTCCATCTAGGCTCTAGTCCATCACATGATTGAAGTGGACTGGCTAACAAATCAAGAAGCGCAACATTCAAAAATGTCATTGCGAGCGACAACCAAAACAAAAGGTTTGGTGCGCTTAATGTTGACTTTACTCATCCGTAACGAATACAGACCGAAACATTTGATACTGTGATGGTTTTTACCTTTTAGAACTGTTCAACCGTTTCAAACTGAAAACTATCCTACCAATCAAAACTTTGGTCAATTATCCTTCGGTTCCCTTTTCGTTTTGACATTGCAAGTTGCAACGGGATTCTCCTTTTTCTTTTGTTTTTTTTTTGGTACAAAAATTTTAGGAAAAGGGTTAGACTCACCCACGATTCAAGGTCAAGGCACCTAACGCTTGATCCATTGGGTCCTATTTCTATGACCACGAAAGTATGACAAGCAAGTCTTTTTTTTTCTGGCCCAATAAGTAGGAATTTCTCAACCTCAATATGCTATAGTGACACCTCTCCCAGCGCAGCAACTGGAGCCACAACAAAATAATACTCTCCATAATCGAATTCTTCTTTTTTGTGAGAGAGTCCAATTTTTTTACCAGTTGAACCCATGAACGAGGGGTTCCGTGGGTTCACATAGAGCCGGTAATATGCGGGCTCAACCCACCAACCCGCCAACAAGTGGCGGGTTGGGTTGATAAAAATTAGGACCATTTTAAAATGAAAATTTTGAGCCCATAACCACCAAGCCCAGACCCGCGGCGGGCTAACCCGCAGGGTTGGCGGGCCAATCCATTTAACCATTTTTTTTTTTGCAAATTTTTTTCCTTTGCCTCTCAGTCTCTACACTCTTAGCCTAATCCATAGTGCAACAGTGAGCAGTCCATGTCTAATAGTCTAACACGGCAACACCAACACGATCCCAATTTCACATTTTGCTTGCGTGTCGCACTCCTCCTAGACCCAGTCTCCCAGTCGCCCTCGGCCAGTCCTAACTCCCAAGTCCCAAGTCCCAAGCCCCAAGCTCTCTGCTCTCTGTCTTTGCTTTGCTCCTTTGTCCTAGCTCGTGAGTGATGATTGAGCACTTGATAGTGATTTGTGTAGTGACATTGTGTTTGTGACTTTGTGGTAGTGTTAATTTGGATTTATTTTTTAATTTGAAATGTTTGTTAAATTATTAAGGACATATCATGTTCATTTAATCATATGTTTAATATTTTGATATATCTGAAACTTGAAACTTGGAACTTTGGATGGGTTCCATGTTTTATTTATGATACTTTCTATTTGCATGTTTTATTTTAGGTATTTAGGAATTTGAGACTTTGAGTAGGTTTTATTAAAAAAAAGTATTAAAAAAAATTGGCGGGTTGGCGGGCCTAACCCGCCAACCCCCCTCGCGGGCCGGGTTGAAAAAATTCCAACTCGTCAAAAAAAAACGGTCCTAAAAAGCCCAGCCCGCCAAGCTTCAGGTCCGTCACGGGCCAACCCATAATCGACGGGTTGGCCCATATTATCGGCTCTAGGTTCACAGACATCATGCGGGTTTGGTTTAGGTTCAAGAATTGCTGCGTGGTTACCCGTATAAATAGGCCCATGTTTTTTTCATTCGAGTCCGTCCTATCTGCCAAAAAGAGCCACACCATTGGCAATTGGGATACCGGCAAACCTTAATATTGGAGTATTGTTTTAAAAAAAAGTGTTTAGGTACTCCAATAATCACTTTTTTATAAATACTTTTTTTACAGATCGAGACAAACTCTTTCACATATTTATCTCGTATACGGTAAAAGTATTTTTGAAACTATAGTTTTGATCTTACCCAAACACCTACTCTCTCCAATCCAATCCCAAATATAACTAATAACTAACTAAATCATGTACATCAAAATATTATTTAAAATTAATTAAAAGTAATAAATATGTAAGATATTTTTTCTAAATATATTCTTATTTATGAAAATACTGAGTGAAACCAATGTGAGGAAATGAATCAGGAAAAAAAAAACATAAGCTTTGTTTGAATTAATGTTTGAAATCACTTATAAGCACATTTTATGTAAGTTGAGATAAAAAAATTTTCACATACTTACCTTGCATTTCATAAATCACGATTGAAAAGCTACTTATAAGCTACCATAATAAAGAATTGTAATTAATTAGGGCTAAAAACAATATATATGTTAAATTTTTAGAAAAGTACAAAGTATTACTTATATAGAACACCAATATATATATATATATATAAGAAGATGAATGTTACGTACTAGAGGAGGGGAGGAGCATTTCTGAATGAAAAGGATGATTCAAGGGGGAAATTGAAAAAGAAAGAAGCGGATGACTGAACATTGAACAGATTCAATTGAAAAGTATTCCAATGTTTGTGAGCTCATTCATTAAATTTTCCAACACTAGCCAGCCAATATGAATCAAAATGGCAAAATACAATGAATTTTGAACATGAATGAAGACCACAAAAACACGCCCCCCACGCTGAAGGTAGGTTCTCTGTTCTACTTCTCATTATTATTATTGTTGTTGTTGTTATTATTATTAACTAATATTGTATCGGTATGCAACCTAACACTCGCCCCAAAAATTTAGTATACTTATTTATTTATTAATAAATATTTATACAATTATTTAAAAAACAGATAATTCACATACAAAATTTAAATATAAAATCTTTTGTTATCATGCATGCAACTCATTTTTGAATGTGAGTGCAGTACGTGCGAATCAACTGATTATTATTCATTAAAATTCAAAAAACGTTTATGGAAACAGTGATCTTTTGATCAATGAATGCTTTATATGATAGAATAAGAAAATGGTCCAGCAATAAGAAAATGCTTAGAAACCGCCTAATAGTATACCAGAATAAAAATTTTCTTGTGAGAAGGTTGTTACCTTGAGTCCACTTTTGCAACTTCAAATTATTAGTATCTGTCCTTTTCACTAGGAAAAGGGGAAAAAAAAGCAGAGAAATATGCTGTTCCTGTTTACTCACACAATTACTCTTTCAATATTCGATAATATTAAAAAATTTATAAGTTGTAACATTTTAAATACCACGAACAATGTGTGTCACTTGAAGAGTCAATCAGTCAATGCAATGTATGGGCCTATATTGCTTAATTCTTAAACATATCCATCAAATGATCTAACAATTTCTAGGAAATAGACAGGAAGATATGGTCCCCCCCAAAAAAAAAAAAACTTTTAATTTCTTTCACCACCAAAGACAATGTTTTTATATCATCATCTTCTTCTCCTCCTCCTCCTCCTTCCTACAAGGGAGGGGGGACTTATTGCCATTCGCATGTACTAATTGTATATTTATTCCCTTCCAAAAACAATACAGGTCGCTTGTTCTGAGTTTTTCTTGATTCAAAATATAAGTGTAATTTAATAAATATTTGGAGCATTCAATTTTTTGCTTCTATATTTTATCCTTGCACAACTTAAATATTACGAGTAGTTAATTTTCCATTGAAATATTATAATAAAGATAATTTTGTAAAATATTAGAATTTTGTTACACCTTTAATGAGTTAATTTCTAGTTTGTTTGACTGAATCTACATTATCAGAGAGACAGGGGAGAGTATTGATTACGGATCACTCAGCCCAAAACGTTTTTCATCATGTCAATTTTATTTAAATTTTGTTCGGCAAGAAAATAATGATTGGTGCGGCGGCCAATAATAGAAATGAAAAAAGATTAATTAATCGGTTAAAAAAGCAATCAGATGTGATACCCAAAAGGACAAAAAAAAAAAAAAAATCTAAGACGTGGGCCTATGACGTCTCATATACTTGCGTATTGTTGGAATCGAGGCAAAGCGAAGGAGAAGCGCTTTTTCATTGATTAGACTGTCTTTTTTCATTCAAAAATTAACAATGGAATAATCCTCTTGCGAATGACATATTGATGGGTAGTCTGAAATATTGTTATAACAGCTCTTTAAGCTCGGAGACACAGTGACCTCGGAGAACTTAGAGAATCTAAGTCACTTAAATTATTTTAAATAAACGAAATAACAGGTAAGTCCAGGAACTTTTTTGAAACATACTATTACTTCTTGTTTTTAATAAAAAAACCAGTAAACTAATTTGAGTAGATTCATAAAATTGTTAAGCTAGATACATGTAATAAGTGTTCTCTTTTCTAAAATATCCTTACTAATCATATGTATTAGCAAGAATTACCATTTAATGAAACATTTAATATGTAGAACTACTACAAGAACTATTTTAAAAAAATAAATAAATATAAAAAATAAAGTGGATTGAGATATTATATTTAAAATCAAATTAAATGTCAAATTAGTTTTTATACTAATGATAGAGCTAGTGATTTACAAATATGGTATCGAAGAATTATAAAAAAGATAATTATATACATATAAAAAACTTTTGTACCATTACGATTATGAGGAACTTGCTTTCTTTTGGACAAAACTGTCATTCTGCCGACTTTTGTGGAAAAGAAGCAGCATGTGGAGGCACGCACTAATCACAAGTCCCAATTCCAGAGCTGTGTGTGTGTGTATTTTCGCTGACAAGAGCTGTATTCTAAATCTAATAACTTTTGGCCGTTGACTCTCTGGGTCTGCTGATTCTAATTTTCCAGTTTCCACGCCACAATGAGTGAACAATTTGTTAATGTTTTGTTTGTTCAATCATGCCATTTAAAGCAAGGCCTACCCCACAAGGGAGGAAAATATACAGTACCTGGGACCCTTGAAAAAGTTATAAAATAATTAAGAAGGAGAGGGTGGCCGGAAAAGATGCATGGAAAGGTACCTATAGCAATTAATGTGTGTTAAGAGAAAATAAAGTGGTCCGTCATCTTGTAAACTTTTGGCCCAAAAAATAAATCATCTTATAAGTGAAAGATTTCACTTGTAACTTTACGCTGATAATGCATGTATCTCCAATTTGAAAAGCAAAAGAAGAAAAGAAAAGACAGAGTGAAAAGCTGGAAAGTTTAGGTAGCTTATTTGGAATTGTTACAGGATCTCTTTAAAACAGCTTATAAGTGGTTTATAAACTGTTTTTTAATAATGATTTACGGAATTCAAAATAAGTATGTGAGAGGAGTTTTGTTTCAATTTACGTGAAACATGCTTATAGGAAATTTCTACCGCTCTGCCAAATAAGACCATAAAGTGTCTTTCAACCACTCCTCCTGTCCTAAATATAAGGATGTTATATTTAATGCCGAAAGACTATAATTTAGAACACGAAATAAATATATGCAAGGAGAGTTTTATTTCGATTCACGACGACATTGATTGAAAAGTTATTCCAACACGTTACCTCATCGTCCTGACGTCCAACTTTTAATTATTATATACACGTCAATGGTTCCTGCTTCATGTACGTAGTTTCTTGCGTTGTTTCCTGCATTAAAATTCCAACCTCGAATCATTTTCATTGATATGTAGTATACTAGTATGTACTCCTTGTTACTCCTCTGTGTCTTGTTCTTGTATTTCTTGCGTCAGAGAGAGAGAGAGATATGATGAGCAATATCCTGAATCCCATGTGGGAGCTGGAGGTCAGAGTTTTGTCATGTGAAGGCCTCAGTCTGATAAGCGAGTCGTCTTCTTTTTCCTCGTGGTGGTCCTCCTTCATATTTACGCCGGCGAATTCCACGCCCTCGCATTTCTTTTCCGTGACGAAGCTGCCTGATCAGAAACCTAAGGTGTACAGTGAGAGGCTGGAAGGCGAAGGAGCAGCAGAAGGAGGGGTGTTACGCGTGCCAGCCGATTCCCACTTCCTCTCCGATACGCAGTCTTGTCTGTACCTTCAGATACACCGGAAGCGGCGGATTTTGGGGCCGACTCAAGTGGGGTGGTGTCTGATTCCAGCGTCTGATATTTGGCCGCCGCCGCCACCTCCCCCGTGTGTTCGTTGCCTGAGTTACAGGCTACGAGGGAGAGACGGGTGCGCGGGTGGCGCCATAATCAACCTCAGTATTCAGTTGAAGGATAGGCATGACGCTGCCGCTGCTTCTCCGGCGATCGGAATTCCCACTGGGAAGATGGAAGAGGGACAGATGAAATCTGGGTGCTGATTTGATAATTCAGTTTGGTCTACTGCTTTTGGAGAAATAACCTTTTTTCACGGTGGAAAAATATGAGCTCAACCACATGCATGCTTACCATTTCCAGTCCACTTCTGTGTACGTGTCTCGTTTTGTTTTCTTGTCCTTCTTTTTTACCCCTTCCTTTATTCGATCGGTTTTAAACTTGTTCTTTTCTTTTCTTTGTTTTTTTTTTTGTAGAAAGATGAATCATGGGAGAGTTTTATTCATCTGTACCCTCGCTTAAATATGAATTACTATTATTTATTAGCGGATATACTGTTAAGCAAATTTTTTTTTTTGGACTAAAAAGAATTTATTAATTTGATTTGGATGATTTTGATTTTATATATTATTGTAATAATTTCTCATCCCGAAAATTAATAAAGAATACATCATTTTTAAATTCCACGTGTTCTCTCTGTTTTTTTAATTAAAAAAAGATAAACACATTTTTTCATAGAACATGAGAAATATTTTTTTTTCTTTCTGAATTCTCTCTGGCACACACGTATTGATATGTTGATACCTATTGGCATTTTTAAGTGTCAAAATATCACTGTCTTTTGTCATCTTTTCGGCCAGATACTCCAAAAGTTCAAGAATCATCCTCTTGTTGCTTCCACTAGTTTTATTGGTCGAAATCTCATTTCACTCCTTTTCAATTGTTCCGTAATAGACTAATATGCTTTTGGTGGATTCTAGCCAAGTTTCCCAACTCGAAAGCTTGCTTTAGCTTTCGAGTGACTACAATAATTTTTACACATCTAAATGACGTAATATAAATTCAGCGACATTCTAATCGAGCTGATAAGAAATAATTATATTTTTATTTCATCTTCCATTAATTTTGTTTATTCATTTGCTCAAACTGAACAAGGCTTGCAAGCCAGCCAGGAAACAACGGAATCCAAGCAAAGCTTGTAATCTTCAAAAAGAAAAAGGGGAAAGGGAATTTGATGAGCCTAGTCTGCGGGGCTCCGAGTTTGGACAGATGGAGGAAAATAGGAATAATGGGCCGTGGAGATAATCAGAGAAAGGCGGGAGCTCATAACGGGCATGGGCTGACAGAGAGAGAAAGTGAGAGTCTGACGGTTTACATGACACCTTACTATTCAAAAACAATATTAATTACTAGTCTTCTAAACACATCCTTTCTCAAATAATATTACTCCTCCGGTTCTTAATATAAGACCCATTTAAATAATTTGATTAGATTAAAAAAATTAGTTAAGTTAGTTAATTATAATAAATGTGATATTTTTCTTAAAACACCATAATCATCTTTCTTAATACCTCATTTCCCTATTTTACTTGATTATGGTTGAGGGAATATCTATATGGATAATTTAGAAAAAATTGATAAATATAAGAAATAAGTCTTATATTTAAGACCAAAACTAACTCAATAATTGGGTCTTATATTAATGACCAGAAGAGTAATTTATTGCTTTTTAATAGGAATTTATCTAAAAAAATTAAGTGAACATTTTAACCTATTTTAGGAAAACCCTATCCGTCATAGGAAAGGGAGGAAAAATTGTGGGTAAGGCCCAACCGATGAGAACATTTGGAATGAAGCAGCAAGGTTTGAAGATGACCTATAAAATGCCAATTTCTAGCGAGCTTCATGCAGAGCCGAACAGAAATTAACAGTTTGAGCGCTAAGCTTCATGGCGGAGCGTTCAAATAGCGAGTGAAGGAATCCAGACTGTGCCCTCATTTCTGAGGTCAAAGGGATTATAGGAAGAGACTGGCAAAATCTTCCTTTATGGCCTGGCTGACGATCATGCAGTGGTGACACTAATAGAGTAGCAGCCCAAGGCCATATTTAAAGCTTTGCAAAGCTCTTTCAGAAAAGCTGCTCTCTTTCACAATCTTCAATCCCTTGATGTTCATTTCGCTCCTCTTCATGTTACATACTCGGGAAGCCCCGCCTGGAAATTGTTCCCCAATGCACTCATTTCATTACCTACATTCTCCCAGAGTATGTTGACCAATGTCTAATGGCTTACCTCACTCCGAAGCCCAATTAGAATATTCCAAGAGAAGCTTTTACTATATAGCACTTGGCACATACTAAAAACACAAGTCACAGTCAAATTGCCCAACAGCCTGTCATTTCTTACATGCACTCAAACCTTTCTCTTTCTACTGTCTTTATTATAAGAACCTAACAACACTCAACATAGGCACATGAGACCGAACAACGTCCAGTGGTGAATTTACAGATCATACAGCCAACTAGGGTGACTTGATAAGTATTCACATACTACATTCACATTAACAGCATATCGCCTCAAGATAATTCTGGCACAAATGCACTGAACAAGCTCAATACACCCACCAACTCAAAGCCAATGCCAAATTGGCCTGGATTGAAGTATATTAACATGCTGTGCATAACACACCCGGACAACAAATATACCTATTCATCAACATGAGTGCTAGAAAATTTTTTGGGTCCACTAAGCTTCCTCTTGGTTGATTCTCTTCAAGATGTTATACTTGCAGAGAGGACAAGTAGAATTAATGTACAGCCACTTGTCCACACAGGCACAGTGAAAATGGTGACCACAAGGAAGTTCTCTAAGGTCAACGCCATCATCATAAGCAGATAGACAGATGCAGCATTCCTGCAGTTAATAAATCAGAATAAAATAAAACATAAGTACAAATAAGTGATTAATCGCTTCAAACTTCCATGGATAACAAAGGACAATGCAACCATGTACGTTGACCCAATAGGCCACAGCTTCAAATTAAGACATACGAAACAGACAGAACAAAACATCAGTTTGAACAATCAAGCCGATCTCTTCTGATGGTATGATGCAATAGCAGGACAAAGGGAATGCTAGAACACGTACAGAGAAAATGGATATACGTAGTATCCTCCACTTACATGTGTTTGATAGGTAAATTCGATGGGCATCACATAATCATGATAGCATAATTTCATTAGCTTATAAGAAAGCCTGCTACATTGAGTTCCCTTTGACATTTGACATTTAGATGATATCTTCAGCATAACGGATGAAGATGACTACAGGGAACCAGGAAAAAAGAAAAATAGGAGCAAAGACAAATCTCAACAGTGAGGAAAATGTTCAACATACCGCATCCTCTTCAGAAAGAATGTGTTCACTCGGTGAATCAGTGCCGCATTCAGTCATTATTCCACCAACTCGTTCTTGTGCACTACCAGCAACTTTCTCTTCATTGTCAATTCTTCGGAATTTGAACTTAGGCAATTGCTCAATGTCTTCTTTTGATGCTCCTTCCTGCAGCCCCAAAAAAACAAAAATATTAAGGTCTAATAACATGTGCAAGATAATGACGGACTCTGCCATCACACTGAAATTGAATCAGTTCATATTTAACACTTGCCCCGAAAGCTAATAATACCCTCAAGTAAACTTCATAGATAATAATTCCAAGTCAAAGACCAGTCCTTCTGGTCCAAGCGAAGAAGCAAGGGCCTGAGCATGAAAGCCGGTAACTTAAAAAGAGTTACTTTATCTTCAAAACCATGTATGAACTTCATTACAACCGTAACAACTTAGCAATGTTTTGAATACTCTATTAATACATATTTGTGTAAACCTAAGGTCGCATAAGTTGGAGTAGCCATATTAGAATTTGGATGCAAGAGATTCATAAGGCCATACTAACTCAATAACAAGAGTGAAAAACAAGCAATGCCCCAGATTACCTGGTCTGCAACGGCATATAGAAGTGCAATAATACATGGAAGACAGCAGCATACAGCAATACCAATGATGAATGCCAGCGCAACACAGAATACAACGAAGAAAACATCGAAACCCAGGAAAGCTATACATAACCTGCAAAGTGAGTTGATTTTGTCCAAGGTAAATTCAACAAAAAGAACAGAAAATTAGCTAAAAGGCAACTCAATTAAGTAATAAAAGTCCAATAATTCATAATTATATAAATGAACAAATCGCTTGATAGAGAGCACAGACCAGTATAAAAATGGAGAATCGAGGACTAAAGATTGACCACCAGCTGATACCCAGTAAAATCCGATGATCCACCAGATAAATGAAAACATTGTGTTTGCTGACTCCAAATGCTTTGCTACACTGCAAGGAAGAAAAGACAAACGTAAAAAAGCATTATTTTTCCCCAAGTTTTCTTAAGAAAAGGATAACTACAAGGGTCCAAATGGATGATAGGTCACAGATTTAAATGATACGTTTTTCTTGTCCTTGTCTGAAGCTTAAAAATATTAGAGGTATTGTGTCAACATATTAAAAAAAAAATAATGCTACGATATGCACAGAATTAAAAAAAATGAGCTACGACTTGAAGGTTACTACAGATTTCAGAAGCGGATAGTCCTTGAGCAAATGTACTATGAAAGTCTTTTTCCTTAATAATTTAAATCAGGTATATATAGACACTGGTCCCTTTTGCAGGCAACTTAACAGAACCAAAGGTCACTTAATACTCGTGTTTACGAGTGTTTTTAGTTTGGTATAATAAGACTCTAGTGCATTCAAATTCTGGGCAACAACTAAATTTGAATACAATTCAAGTTATTATCACAAGGCAGATTTTTTTTTTTTTTTGGGATCAAAGAAGGCAGATTTAATTATCGCTCACAATTGATTTATACAGGTACTAAAAGTGCCAGAGAAGAAATTATTCACCAAAATTAAAAAAGATGGAGCACAAATTCACCTTGTACCCTCTTCCTCGTTGAATTGCGCCAATGCCACATAGTGCCCAGAACCATCTCTCGAACCCAGACTCAGATTCCCACCGCTGCCCGTCCTTCCATGCGCTGCATCCAAGGATGGTGTAAACTGGCGCCGCCGGAGCCGCCTCCGTCTCCTATATTCAACGCAAACGCAGAACACGTGAAGGATACATTGCAGAGCGTAGCCCACAATCCACAACCTCAAAGGCATGCTCGGCGACTCGCTTCGACTCAAAATTAAAATCGTAGCAGCCACAACAACAAAGACGAAGTTCCAAATAATATCAAGGATCACAACGGGTTTAGAATAAGCCCAATCGCCCTGTCTCTCCTCCAATTGCTCAGCTGCAGTCTCTCTGACCAGCATCGATGGCTCGCGCATCATCCTACGCCCACTGGCCTGCCTCAGGAACCGAGCCGCTTGGCGCAGGCTCTGCCTGCGAACAAATCGCCGGCCAGAATTGAATTCGTCGGAAGAACCGCCTGAATTTGCTATGAATGGCGTCGAATCGATTATGTCATCGGAGGAAGGATTCGATGACCTAGTCGTCGCCATATCTTGCGTATTCCCTTTAAGCAGGGCGAAAAGATAAGCTTCAAATCAAAGCTGACTCGAAATTGGAACTGCTCGTCTTGATTCTTGACTGGGTTCGGCCTAGAAGATAAAATCAGAGAGTATCTAAAATGTTGAGGGGATCAAGCGCTTGACGCGAAATCGAGGATGACAAATCGTATGAATACTGGGACACAAACTCAACTTCAAGGGTTGAGACGGTGAATTGGTTGGGAGGCGACCGAGTTAGACCCGGACCCGAATCCGATGGCTCTAATGCGAAAACAGCGAAAGTTTCTCCCTTTTTTGCTTGTTGCTTGCAGATTGCGATTGTGACGGCTCGTCCGTGGGATTTTCATGAACCATCACGAGCACCAAGTTTCAGCTTACTGTTAATCACTGGGGATAAAAAAGTTCATTATCGTTATTATCATGATAAGGGGTAGATGGGAATCAACGAAATTGGCAACATTTTTCACATTGCCTTTTTTTGGGGGTTGAAAAAATTGTTATAAAATCTTAAATAGAAAACATCATTATTAAAAAATCTCAGTAATAATAAAACAATATATCAAAGGAGTAAATGGCATCTACTTTTAGTTGTCATTGTAATTTTTCTTTTTTACTTCTAATTTTTGGATAAACTATTTCCCTTGTTCGCCTTAAATTTCAAATTTTCAACCAATTATTTTTTATTACCACATTTAAATATAAATGCATAGTTATATTAGTTATTTTATTATAAAATGTATGTAGGTACTAATCATGAATTTTAATTGATAAATTCAATAATAAAAATACAAAAAATTATTTCCAATTTTTTATTGGTCTTTCGTACTTGGATGCAAAAAACAATGTATGGATGTTGAGATTTCGAAAAATATTTTGAATCAACAATTTATCCTTTTTGCCACAAATTAACAATTTATCTATTAAAATGTCCTGTTATATTTGAAAATGTTTTTAAGAAATACCCTACTTTTTTATTTTTAATTATAAAGGGGTTAGTATAATTTTAGTCTCTCAAATTTTGACGCATTTTGGTTTTGTTCCCTCAAATTTCAAACTTATAATTTTAATTATTAGAATTTAGCTCATTTTAAAATGTTAGTTCCTGAAGATACGACAATGTTAACATTTGTAGAAGTGTCATTAATATCGTTATTCGTTAAAAGTAGTGAAGTAGACTCAACAGATAGTAGTTAACTAGATCTTGTGTGGATAATAAAATATGATGGAGTAAACCGTTATTGAAACAATCGTAATAAAGAAAAAATGGTGGTTAAGTAGCTTCCTTTTGAGGAGCTACTTTTTCCTTTTTTGTTATTCTCATAAAATTCAATTAGTTATCATTTGGTAAGTCTGCACCACTAGTTTAATATTATTTATGACACTACAGTAGATTTTAAAACAATTACACCAATATTTAAAAATAGACTAAATTTTAGGAACTAAAATCATGAATTTAAAATTTAAGAGACTAAAATTAGATAGACCCAATTTTTAAGAACAAGAAATTATATTAATGCTATATAAAAAAAATACTGATAAACATGCACAACTCATCACAGGACCTATATATATTAGTTTTAAGGGGTGTTTGGTAACCTTATAAGCACTTTTTAAAAATGTTTTCATACAAATTAAGATAATTTTTATTACATATTTATCTTGTATGTTTCAAAATCACTTTTAAAACTATGATTTTTATTTTATCTAAACACTCCCTTAATAGTAAAAACTGGAATAAAAAATCTTATATTGGTCGCTCGGGTTACGCGCTTGTACGTTTAACGAATAAATAGGAAGGAAAAACTTACTTCACGGTGGTCGAACTTGCAAAATGAAAACTTATAGGGGCAGCGAGTCGGCGACCATAAAAGCAAACTATGAATTACTATTGAGTATTGACCGTGTTTGCACTTTGCAGGCTGCAGCCTCCTGCAGAACAAGCATTCGATTTGAATTGTCAAAACGCCAAAAAATCACAATAGCCTCCATTGGCGTCGCCCGGACTCGAACCGGAGACCTTCAGTGTGTTAGACTGACGTGATAACCAACTACACCACGACACCTTGCTGCTGTAAATGCTCTTATCTCTATTTTAAATTTTTGTTACTGGAAGGCACAAGAACATAAAGAACAACACGAATTACTAAGCATGAAAAAGAATAGATAAGAAAGAAAACCACATAACAAAGCGGTACCAAAAAAGTAGCAAGATACCGATTGTCTAGCCAGTTCTAGATTTAGTAGCAACGATCATCCAACACAATGGCTTACATCTTTGTATTTGAATTCTTACATTACAGACAACTTTTGAAAGCGCTAACTTATAATTGACATTTGTTAAAGCCATTCATCTTTTCATTTTTGCAACTTTTGAATTTTGGTTTTTGAATAAAAATAAATAAATCAATTTGGATGCCTCAAATGATTATAAATTATGTAAACGTAACCCCCAATTATCAAATTACAACATCAGCCCAGAGAAGATTGTCAAATTACAAGCTTTCGACTCAATCAATGAGATGAAGATGCGAATGTCAAAAAAGTTCATGGAAGTTCAACTGATATACATATATATTAGCAGACCAATCAGCATCACATTTTAGAAACTGGGGAGAGGTCACCGACATAAATCCATGAACATCATGGAAGTCATATGCATTATATATGATCACAGCTATCTTAAGTAAGCAGGCCGTAACAGTAATGGTTATCAATTATCACCTAACTTAGTAAAACTTGTTAGCAAGTTCATACGCTATGCTCCACAATCAGACCAAAGTCCAAAACACTTTCACACCAACATTCTCAGTATCTATGACCCATAGGCAAACCAAACTTGTCCAAACGACCAGAACCGGGATAGGCTTTGCTAGTGAAGCTTGCATGCAAAGCAGATGCCCTTTGTGCAGACAATCTTGACTCGCCAAATCCGTTCATTGAGTACCTATTAGACGAACCAGACCTCTCATACCTTGTCCTCTGTTTTGGAGCACTGAGAGATCTGACCTTTGCCTTAGAAGATTCGGTGTAAGCCATATAATTAGGGCAGTCAGAATAAGCACTTACATAACTCCTTGAACCATCACTCTTAGTAGGAGTAAAAGGGCTTCTTTTAGAGCTACCATCCCTAGAGGACCCAGAAAAAAAAGGAGGACTATTGTTTGCTGTGCAGAATGGGGTCTCATCAACTTCATGCCCTTCTGGTGGACTGTAAGATTGGTGAATTTCACGATGGATTGGACCGGAATGATGAATTGTTGAGTTCTTTGTGGCGATCAAATTCTGACTATAAGGATCAGAAACTAAAGCTAGATTAGCGGAGTGGAAGAGGTTTCTGGCTCTGCGTTTTGATGCCAAGTTTCTTTTTTCAGAATCCATTTCCAGGATCCTTACATTTCTTTCATCGTTCACACAGATTCTTACGGACGATCTTTGTCGATTCCATGATTTCTCATCTACCCAACTGTCTGTTGTCTTCCAACATTTCTCCTTATTGCCACTGATCTGGACATAGGATTTAGAATTATCTCTTCACAGTTACATAAATGCTTTCATGAGTAGACACGTTAAATGACAAAATGAACCGCATCCCTAAATGCAAGAACAATACCTTGAGTATTGACGACTGATCATATTTCATGCTCTTGGATCTGATGGGGTTTTCAACTTTGTCAGGTGTTGCCGGATCCTGGGAACAGAAGAAATGCTGGAATTAAATAGCAATCGTATCAAGAACGTGAAAACCTAGCCGTGTGATGTCTTGATACTTGACTAGTCAATGAGATGAGACTAAGAGTATTAACAAATAGAACAGTTTAGACACAAATATCTTGGCTCAAAAATGGACTAATTATATCAGACACTATATTACAAATTTATAATTTATGAAAATGGATTCCTATATCATCAACTCATGTTTTCCAGCAGCATGAAATTACATATAGTAAAAGCATAATTGAGTGGACAGGAAAATTAATGGAGGGCCCAACAATTATTTACATGGAGGTGGACATTTGATGACATGGCCATCAAAGATGAACTAAGCCGCCCCGCCCGAACTCGAGTCTGAGCTCGCAAGTGTAATTGCATTTTTTGCAGCCGCTCAGCCGTCCGCTTCCTCGCCACCTGACCCCTCACCAGCGCCTGCAGCTTGACCAATCCTTTTAACGCTCGCAGGGCTCTCCTTGCCTACCAAATTTGCACATTGAGTTTCACATTGAAAGGCGAAATCTCTTTCTGACAAATAAATCAAAAATCAGAGCACTCGGCGCACTTTATGACAGAAAACAAGATTTTATCTTTAGTAAATGTCAAGACAACAATAACAAAGCCCAATAAGACTAAGCCAACTACAAGACGGCACGAAGCTATAACCAGTCCCTCTGTCTGATTTGATTACGAGTTTTGAATGGGTTGATGGGTTAAAGGAGAGATAAGCGCAAAGATGGATTTACATTATAAGGGGGAGACATGACGGTTCCCGGACCAAGCCGTTTCATTCATTTGAAGAGTTTTCAGATTCGCGCCAGGTAAAAGAACAGCACGGAAGCAACGAGAAAATTCGAAGGTAAACAGGCGCCAAAATGACTGAACTTCTATTTTGCAGTTCAAGAAAGTCCTGTGTCAGTGAGACGCTTTTGCGGCATTTGGACAAAAAGAAAAAAGAAAAGAAATATTAAAAGTACTCAATCTTCATTGGTTGCTAAAGTTAAACAGCCCAGCTTTTATCTTGGAAAAGTCATGCGGGTCCCTCGATTATACCGATCAGCATATGGGAGCTCCTTTTTACTCCCGTAGCTGGCCCCACTCTCCCAATAATTCCCAAATCCAAAGGATTAAAACCGAAGGCCAATGTTATTGCCACTAGCTCGTAATGGATGGTTCAGAGTCAAGTGTGGAAAAGGTAACGGTGAAAGCCATATTCTGAAGCAAAACTTTTCAGGCTATCAATTCTGAGTAAAACGACACTAGAGAACAGCTCAGCTCACTGTGCAATAAGTGGAATCTTCACAAAAACCAAATGAATAAAAACATCATCTTGCAAATAGACCAATCTGCAAAGCTGTCCTATCAGCTTCGAAGCAGACTGAATGAAAAAAATCTGTTCCAGGAATTTCCATATCTTCCTTACTACAGCTCGCAGTAGGAATCCTAGTTCATTCGCTTCTCCCGCCCCCTCTTAATAAAAAATAAACAACGTGCTCTTCCATCTGCATCTCCAAATCAA